GCAGTAATTTGCCAAATTAATTAGGGGAGAGCACATTGCATGGTGCCGGAGGGAACTCCAGCTCATTAGTTCCTCTTTTTTGCCGAGTTTGTGCTAGAAACGGGGCTGATGACTTGCGCAAGGAAAGTTGATAATGGAGGCTATGTGTGGCTGCTTTTTTTCACCTCTTGGGTACACTGTCAGGGAAATCCTGCCTTGATTATGAGGCAGTGATTGCAGCCTCTGAGTTTGGAAATGTATCCTTGATGAATTACTTTTTTGCTCATTTCCCCTTTCCTTGCATCACTATGTTGACTGCATGGTTTGCAGACACCTATGAAAATGAAAAGGAGGAAACCTGGTCTTCCTGACTGACCAGCCCATACATTTCTCAAGTCATTGAAAAGACAAGGAAGAAGAGGGGATTTGGTGTCTGTTTATCAAGTGCGTAGTTTTTACTCTCTGCATCTTTTTTTTTGTTTTCCTCCATATAAAGAAAGCAATTAAACAGCAGTTCTGCGACCAATACTAAAATTAAAACCCTGGGAGCTGAGGATAGTATCCTTTTGATGTAGCATTGCTGTAATACGTGGTTATTTTGTCTAGTGTGACTCAATTCTTTTTTTTTTAAATCAGTGTCATTCAATATATGTATCCTCCTTGCTCGTTCCTTGATACGTGGTTTTGCATTCAGCTTTATGGTTATGCATTTTGTTTGCATGTTAGGCAATCTGCTTTTTATCCTTAGTATCTTTTATATAAATTCTTGTTCATTGATTTACTATGTGTCTGTTTATTGGTTCTAAAAATTATCCCATTTTGACACCCCTTTCTGAAAATATTGTCAAATGAGGCTATTTGTAACTGCAGTCTTACTGCTTAGTTGTGCCACACCATAAAAGTAATAATTCAGCTTAACTTCAAAAATGCATGATGTCTGGATCTGCCAGTTTGTTGATAGAAGAGTAGTAGAGATGTGAGGTTTTTCAGTAGCGTGTGAAATTGTAATTAGGAAATGGCAGTATATTAGTAATGCAAGATGAAAAACTGTGGGACTGTGCTGCTGACAGTGTTGTGGACATAGTGAAAGGGAGAAGGAAAGCAGAATGCTGTCCCTTTGAATTCCTTATATAGCACCTTTTTAGGGTTTCAAATTAGTAGTGTGTCTCCTTTTACATCTTTAATTTTCATTATGTGAATATTTTTGTGTTTGCAGTATGATGTTATTATGTGATAGTTGATTTGAAAAAGTGACAGATGTTAGGTGTTTTAACTTTAATTCAAGATGGAATTTCCCACTGTGAACTAATCATCAATGTATACTGAACCTCTAAAATGATGCACTAAATTTCTCAGTGACTATGTCACAGCAGTAACTGAAAAAGGGGACTAAAACCAGTAGCAAACGTTCTGAAGTTCATGTTGAAAGTTTTATCAATCAGCATAAGTATTTGTAGCAAAGTATATTTTTATCTTTGTTTAAAAAAACATGTGAATTTGACAAAGAACACCTGTGTGTCCCTGTGTATTATGCGGAACAGGAGTAGTAATGGTGAATCTGCAAGTCTTTAATTGGAAGAGAAAACAAAATTGGCTTTAGAAAAACAAGTTTAGCAATGCAGGAAATGAAAGCCAAGGACATGGCTTACCACTACGCTTAGCCAATCTAGCGGGTAACTGCTGCCAGATATGAAGGAAGGACCTGCTTCCCAGATCCCATGTTTCGTGGCATGCTTCCAGCCGATCGAACCGTTATTTGTGCTTCTCTCATTCTGCTGTGAACTGATACAAGGAACTTAAGCTGGCAGAAGGGTAACAGTAGGAAAGAGAAGAAAACTATTGATTATTTTTCCACCAGTTTAGGTGTACAATTTCAAAGAATACTGTTCTGTTTGGTGTCTTTCAGAATTTTTTCTCCTTTAATGCTGTGCCAATTGAAAATATAAGTGTGGGTGAATATCACTAGTTATTTTTATGTTTTGAAATCCATAGAAAAATAATGTCTCACTCCCTATGTGCTTTCTTTTTACAAAATAGATGCATTTAAAAAAACTTAAACTTTTAACTTGGTACTAAATATTATAAAATATTTTTGGATTTAAAGGTAGGAAATAGTTATGTTGTTATTCAAATGTAACAAATTTTAGAGAACTCTTCATTCTTGACATAACACAGCTGAGATATTTCAAAAGGTGGTTGTTATTTTGTTTTGGTTTTTTTTTTTCATTGTGGCAAAAAATGGATCTATTGAGAGACTTTGTCACATATTTTTCCTTGCATGAGAAACTCTGAAGCTGCTTCAACGTGTGGGTTTTGATCTTTGTAGAGAGTTGCTGGATTTGTGTTGTTTTTGTTCTAAAACTGTGTTAATGTAGGGGTGTTAAATGCACATTAGCCTTGTCTGTGTATAACTGAGGTGTTCTCTAAACTTTACTCTTTAGAGCAGACTTTAAGTTTATGAAATAACCTTTGTGGGTTAGGATCAAGACGCAAATTTTTCTCTGTTCTGCAGATGAATGCTGCTTTGAGTGAGCTTTTTGTATAATTTGTCATACTTCTATTTCGTCATTGGTATGGTTGCAGAAGTACGAAGCTTTTCAATACATAAGTTTGTAACAAATATGTTTACTGAGAGAGGCTATCTTACTCATTGACTCATGACGACTGGCAAAATAGCAATGTCTTTAAAAAAGTCTGTTATTGAACTTTTGAGGTGAATATATACCCTCAAGAAACTTTGATTCCTGGTGTTATATAACTTCTTGTGTTCTGTACAAGTTATTGTTAAAGCTGATAATACAACTGCTTTTGCAATTTTAGAAGGGCTAGAATAAAACAACAAAATGAAAGACTAAGAATTGGAGGTTTTCAGTCCCTGAGTGGACAAAGCCCCAACCTGCTTGGTCTGATTTCAGTTTTGACCTTCTTTTGAATAAGTAGTTGGACAAGATGACCTCTTGCAATCCCTTTCAGCTTGGATTAGTCTGTAATACTGTGACATTAACACATAAGAATTGAATCAATTTCTGAATACGTCAATCGCAAATGCAGCTCAGGATGCTTGTATTTAGGAATGGCACCTTTTGTAAGAACAAATAACTTTCTATAGAAATTTTCCTTAACCTATCCAGAATGCCAAATATCATATGGTTTTAGAATGTGACACACAACATTCACATATGTGGATCCGTATGTATGCAATATATAAACGCCTTGACTTTGGTGAGTATAGCCTATGCATAGGAACAATCAGTAATCTAACTGAAAATGCTATAACCTTTGTAGCAATATACTTACATTGTAAGGTTTTCTTGAAACATGTCATTTCTGTCAAGGCAGAGGCTCCTTATTTTATGTTTGCACTCATACTTTTGACTGAATGTTTGTAAGAAAAACATTCAGCTTTCTTAAGTTACTGTCAGTTTGAAAGTAATAGAGCTGCCAGGTTTTGTGAAGGTCCATGTGACAATTTTGTATAAACTGCTTGATGAGTTTGCATAGTTGCCAGTAACTTTCATATAATCATTTCCACTGAATTAAAGAAAAAATACAGTTAATTTTCTGTTGGTGGAAATGCATTGGCTCGGCAAGTTTAGAAAATCAAAAGTCTCTTTATCTACAGCCAGCAGCTGGACAAGCTTCCAACAGGCTCTTTGCTCACAGCATGGCTCAGCCGTGGGGAAGGGAGGCAAAGGACTACTTCTACAGTTAACACAGGTTGTTGACTCGCTACTGAGTTTCCCAATTAGTGCAGAATGAGCGCTGAATTTATGATGATACCATTCTTGAAACATACCCTATCAAACATCCTTCAGTTTGGAGTTTTAGTCTAAATGAGTAGGGCTAAGTTTTAGATGGTGGCTTTGTAGTTTGGAAAATCCTGTATTTAATGAGCGAAGTCTTGAAATACGCAGTTTCTGAAATAAATACTTTACAGGCTTTACCAAGTTCCAAAGTGTGCTTCTGATGTTAGAGAGTAGAGCTTTTGAGACTTATTTCCTGTGAATGTACATTGTATGGTTATTAAGTTTATTTATCTATGAGTCAACAGTTTTCAAACTGGGTCTTTAGAAGCTGCAGTACAAAACTGCAGCGGTATGTCGTAGAGGTTGGTTCCTTCTGCTCCTATAAGCCACCCATTTGAAGGACCATGCAGCTAACCGTGTGCTAGCAGGTTACAGAGGTATTTCTGAGGTAGCAGTGGGAAGTGAACATCAGAATTTATGGATTCTTTTCTAGTTCTTTGAAAGGGAAGAAGGTCTGCCATTTAAATCAGTAGTTACAAACAAAGTAACCAAGCTGTTTGCCTGTGGGGCTTTTTTTTTTTTTTTTCCTGGCTCAGTGAGTCTAAGGGAGAGATTTAGCTCATAATAGAAGCTGTTGTTCCAATTCAGTGAGGTGTAAGACTCGTACAAAATATGGCTATAGCTTGTGGAAATATTAGTAATGATCTGTGAGAAAGATGAAATACGACTTGTAGCCTCCTGGCACTTGATCATGTTATAACTTTACTGAGTGCAAAGAATATTTTTAGAGGTGGTTTGTTTTTTTTTTTTAGTTGAACAGTAATGGGGAAATAATCTTTTTCATTTGAAGTTTTTAATCAGTTCCAATTATTTACATCTTATAGATAGAATAAGCATGAACTTTGAAGCAAAATAATTTGGTAGACAAGATTATTATATTTACTTTTTCATTGTTATTTTGGTCAGGCTTGTGAATATGATGTCGGTTGAAAACAATGCAGTATAGATAAGCTAGCAGCTCAATTTTTGGCAGGTGTTGCTGAGTATTATTAAATATTCTTTTCTGTCTCTGAAAGAAGCTATGGTATCTTATGGTATCAATGCATTAGGTAAATCTTATTTTTCAGGGAAATTTACGAATCTTTCTCTTTCATTTACTTTTCTAAAATCGAGATTAAGAGTACTAAATAAAAATAGTTTGGGGGATTGTATTCCACTCTGATTTCATACTGACCTTTTTCTATTGTTCTAACTTGCTCTTTTTTCTCTGTACAGAAATTTATCATTAATATTCCTAGGCAGGCAGAACACTATGTTGGCATGCTTCATGGGAATTTCCCAGATAGTGGAGTATGTATATAATACACTGACAAACACCTACAAACTTGCATCAGTATCGATAAAATTGCAGTAGTGCTATATGTTTTGTAAAATAATAGCATTAATAAATGCATTTAAAAGTGCAGTTCTGCTTTCATTTGTGATAATTCTGAAAATATGTTCTGTTTTACTTTTACTATACAGTTCGTATTTTAGAGAGCCTATTAAAGTTCCACCACAATAAATCAAATAATGTATTCCTTTGCCGAGTTTAGATTTAACGTTAATAAATCTCTAATTACCTACAAGACAGAGAAGAGGGACATATATCTAGGGGTTGTAATTAGGTAAATGTGGAAGATCAGAACAACTTTTTTGAAGATTATTTTACTATATATAACTATCATAAGGTATAAGCCTGTCAATCATTGTGATAGAGAAAATTAAGCTGTCAAGGGATTCTGTCTTTAAGGTAAAAAAAGGGCATTTAATGAGCACTGTTACAAAAAAAAAAAAAAAAAGAAATCTTTTTGAGATTGTGTTGTATTCATATTGTGCTAAGATAATTCCTGGTGTAATCTCATTGCTCCTGTTTGGTTACACCAGCAATAACCTTGAACCATGAAATGAAAAGCAAGTATGTCTTCCCAAGTGCAATTTAAGTCATTAAAGCATAACTGTAAGTCTTTCACGTTTCCACTTATGTCTGCCTAGAGGAACCACTCAGTAGTTAATATCAGGCAAGCTACCTTACTTATTGTCACTCATACAAGCCTCTGTGTACAGACTTCTGTTCTGTGAAACAATTTAAAATGCAGAGATCGTGAGCTGCTATGTTGCTTATTATATATGGTTTCTTGACCCTGTGACTTACAAGTTCCATCTGTGAGAATTTGACTGTAACAAATGCTGCTCAAATTAGGATGAGAAGGAGAGGAGAAATTGTCTCTGCACAGATTTTAAATACAAATGAGGAAAAGATATCTGCCTACTCATGATCCAGCTGATAGTCTAGGTCAGATTCAACCCATAGGCTATTTTCATTTTGTCTTGCTAGCCTTTTCTCCTCATGAGAAGAGAAATTGTGACTGACACATATAAGCCTGAACGTCATCACACTCGGCCACAACCTTACAGCAGTATCCAAGATGGGAAGAGGAAATCAAGACAGAAGTGTTCTCAAGGAATTGGTGTGTGCTGTTGCTGGTTGGAGAGCAGAAAATGTTCACTGTCCCTGAACATGCAAATGTCCATGAATGGCAGTGGCTAACTATTTTTTGTGGACTCTGTGTGGATATATTAGATGTCTGGGGTATTGTAGGTAAGTGCCCCTAATAAAGAATGGAAAAGATTAAGGAAATGTGTATGGTTTTGAGAGGTGTAACATCCAAAACAGTAATACAGAAGTTACAGTAACAAAGGGGAAAAGTAACACTTCATCAATATAATTATACAGAGTTTCTGAAGATAAAATGAAAAGGTTATTGTATAAATTTGGGAAGAACTTTCTAACAGATTAATGAAAAAGTTTAAACTATGTTTTCATATGTCCAGTAAAGTGACATTCTTGGGAAGAGAATTGGGAGAAATACTACAAAAGAAGTAAGAACGTAAATCTAATAATGCGTGATACCTACGTAATGGGGAAGGGCAGCTGGCCAAAAGAAAGGCAAGCTGAACATATATTGGTTCCACGTTCCTCCCAGTCACTGTAGAATATTCAAAGTACTGACAGAGATTAAACATTTTAAACTTTTCTTACAGAGTTAATAGAACTGAACAGGAAGAAGGCTATAAGCTGTAGCTCCTCTGGTTTCCTAAGGGTAATAAACACAGTTTTAGAAAGTCTTAATGGAAGCTCTGACTTCTAATGCACTTTTAGGCTTTTTTTTTTTTTAAAGGGCTGTGAGTTCAAGAATTCTTGAGTGTTTGCACGCGTGTGCTTAACATGCTAGGACTGACTGCACTTGCAGCGAATAGTGCTTGAATAATTGAAGCAGGATTCAAGAGGTCACTGTTGCACTTTCTCCATTGAGTACTTCAGCCTTGGTTTGATCCAAACCACTCTGGGTTCCAGGGAATTACAGGAGGATGATCCCGGGGGAATTTGCCTGTTCAGAACAACTTTTGCTTCATTTTGACCCCTTCATTCCTGAACCATGTGTATCAACATATTCTTTTCTGTAAGAAAAGTCAAACAGAAACCCCGCTTTCCTGTTTTTTCTCAGTACTATACCCTCCCCAACCCTGTATGCAAATTAGTGTATAAAGGAGAGTGTACTAAAATATCCTTTTGCAGTGGTAGAGGCTGTAGATTGGGGTCATGTGTGCTATGCATTTTGCTTTCCTTCAGAAGGAAAGCAGAGTCATAGGTTCTGGTAAAGGATGAAAATCCGTTCCTTGGCAGAAGACCCCAGATCACGCAAGCTCCTCTGCGGGGCAGAATGACTTTGATGAACTTAGTGTTTGGGCAGAACGCTGTGGTTTTTTTCTTCTGATATGCAAAACAGTCTGAAGATTTCCTGGGTTTGTTCAGCTAGGCTTTTGCATTCTTCCCCACTCTCAAAATTTCAAAGAAATATGCAAATGGTAATGCACGTAATACTATCCGAAACAGAGACACGGCAGATAAATGTTATACATCCTGTGGTATCATGGTGCATTATAGCACTGAGCAATAATGTGTAGATGTAGTTCAATACTGTTTAAAGGCATATGTTCTTCTCCTTACCTGAGTAATGCTGTTTTAAAGGTTATATTTGAGTTGGCTTTAGAATTTGTTTCAGCTTGTATCATTTGTTATTTGAGGATGAGGCAGAAGGGAAGTTATTTTATTTCACTACACATAGGACAGATGTTTGCTCTGTACTGATTAAGACTCATTTTCAGTCAGTTATGATGATAATGGTAGCAGCATATAGTCTAGCTAAATAGGCAGCTAAGAAGAAAGTAATGAAGATTTATGTTTATATGTTTCTGAGGTTCTTACTTTAGATGGTAGCTGTCTCATGTGAGATGGTAGGAGCAAATTATTTTCTGCAGCTTCGCTGATCAGAGTTTTTTCATGTATTTGGTAATTTTAATGCTGAAGACGCATCTTTAAGTTGTTTGAATGTTGAGTATTTGAATGTGATTATTTGCAGTTTTATTTTGTAGCATGGCAGTGCATCACGTAAAATTTTCCATTAAATATTATTGGAAATGTAAGCAGGTTTGTATTGGAAGTTTACTCACTTCAAAAGTAAATCTCAGTAGAGTACTTGGGGAACCAGGCTGCACAACTGCTAGTAACTCCTGAGAATTGAGGTTTATTTCTTAAAGTTCTAGTTAATGATTTTACTTCAAAGAAACAAAATTTCCTTAAGGTGTGCTGTGTAATATAGCCAATATCAAAATGTGAAAAAGGATTTAGTCCAGTTAAGAGAAAACATTTCAATCCATATTATTTTACGGGAAGCTTGTTAAAATAATAATGTGATACTCCTGTTTTGTTTATATTGACAGCTGAAAGGATTGAATCCTTTAAACAGGTCTATAACAAGCAATTACATATGTCATAGTTGCCTAAGGTGATTCTGAACTTTTCTTAAAAACAAAACTGAAGTACAACGCTATTCCTGCTTTCACTTGTGAATTGTATCAACTCCAAGTTATTTTGGGCACTGAATCCCACTAGATTAGCTGGCTTATAGCAAATAATTCAATTTATAGGAGAAGAACAGAAGAGAAATAAGTTGAATCTTATCTTGATATTAGTGGATTTGACCTTCATTCTGTGAAAGCTGTAGCTCTGGATTAGTCTGCAGTAATACAGAGTTGTGACTTCGTCCCCCTGCTCACACAAACAACTAGCTGTCCACAACCAATTTAATGTATTCATCTGACAAATAGAAAGAAAAGAGAATTTACCTAAAAATTGCAAAGAACCAGTGAGAATGCACAGAATATTTTCCTTCTTGTTGGCTATTTAACAACTGGGAGTACATTTGTATAATTATGACAGCTTTTAATCTGTTTTTAAGGTCTTTGATTTTACCATTCCTCCATGCTGTTCCTAACCACATCTCTCCAACAGTGCTGAAAGAAGCTTGTTTATGAAGATATGATGGATTATTTTTCTTGGGAAGTCATTATTCTTGTTCTGATTTTGCTACTTCTATAATATGCTGGGCAGTCATTTTTAAGACATCAAACATGGGAGAATCTAAACTTTCACAATCGTTTGAAGATGCTGTGCCGTTTCAGTGGAAATCTGTGTAAAAGCCATGAAACAGGGTTCACTGCTACTTTTGGTAATTTTTAATATATTTTCAGAAATAAGAAGTAGTAATGCTCCACTGGCCACAGACTGCTACTTCCTACTTTTTTGTCTGTGTCAGTCTTCTTTTTATGATGATGTACTTGCATATAAATATAGTAATTGGTGTGGAACAGGGATTTATTTGGCATTGATAGAATTTTTCTGTTGCATAATTGGACAGTTGAACATCTCAACCAGTTTGTCATTGCCTAGCTGAGCCAAAATGTAACTAGAAAATTCTCTATGGAGGAGTTAAGCTATCTTCACAATGGATTTCTAAAATCAATCCAAAACGTGTTGCATTACTCTATGTCCTTTCTTGAGCTATGAAAGTAGCTCATCGGTTATAAAACAAGTTAATGAAGTGATGGTGGTTTGTTCCTGGTAGTGGCTTTGTGCAGTTTTTGCCAGGTTGTCCAATGTTGTACCAGTATATAAGTCCACAGTATGTGCTTAAAAAAACCCTAATGTAGTTTTAGAAATGGCAACTACTAGAGTTTTTAGTAATCTTTCTGCACAAGGTGTTGCAGCTCTTCACTTACAAGGGCTTTTTTTTAAACTTAAATAATTGCTCTTCACATTCATTTCAGAATTACATTTGGTTTAAACTGTCAAAGCCAAGGTCCTCTTTAAAACCAGTGCCTGATGGTAAGCAGTAAGGGTGTTTTGGCTTATGGATATGTAATAACTTACTGAAAGGTAGATTGCTTTTAAAATTATTTTACGCTGACTGGAGACGGCTTTAAGCTTTACAGCAGTGTAGATAAACTTGAATTTCACTGCTCTGGTCATGAAGAATGTACTTATTGTTGGGAAAGTGAAATTTAATCTTACGGCAGCAGCACACTGTGATTTGTGAAAGGCGAGATAGAGTAAAGGAGAGAAGAGAGAGTGGAACTGTCAGCAGGGATGTTTGGGAGCAGACACGGTGGGAATCTCTTCTTTCTTGACTCCCTTACTTCACCTCTTCAGAGCTTTAGACCTCTGCATAAAGTATGTCGTACAGAACTTTTCTGGGTGCTCTCAGTTCTCCTCTTGCCTGTTGAGTGCTCCTTCCTCCAGGAAGCAAATCTTTCTGTTTGTGAACCGATAGTCACTCCAGCTGATCCCCAAGCTCTGGGAGAGGCAAGCAGCTCTGTTGAGATATAGAGGATTCAAGGGAAGGAATTGTTTTCCATGGCTGTTGAGTACTTGTGGCACATGCCTATTTTGTTTGCGTCTTAAGCTGACTCTGCAATGAGTTCTCCTTTTCACCCTAGAGCTTTCAAGTGTTTGGGCTAGTAGACTGACTGCCAGTAGTCTATTTAATTTTTCCATGTGTATTTCCATAAAATGGCTTTCATGAAGGAAATAAATTTGCTTAATTATTCAATATTACTTGAGTTAAGACCCTGCAGTTTGTTATAATGGAAATTCTTACATAGATCACCCTTTCCGGATGTTTTTCTGTAGTATTTGTTATATTATCTTTTTCTTATTCTGCTCTAGAAGCATCAGTTCTTTCAGTTATCATCTGTATCACCGCAACACTTGGACAGAGATACTGTGATTAACTTCTTAGTTCTGCTGCATACACGTCGCTCTTAATTTCAGGAAGGAAGCTGTTCTTTATGGGCTTCCAGAATAGGAGGGAAACAAGTGGAACTTGCATCAGTGTCACTGCTTGACCCCTGTAAGAACTGAAGTTTTCACTAGGTGCTTTTGATTATACTATCGATGATTGCACGCAGTTCAGGAAGATGGTAGCACCTGATCTGAAATTTTGACAGGGATCCAGGCTGATTTGTCTTGCTGGGTTTGAATTCTGTGGTTGGAGTTGTTTGTATGAATGAATGAATGAATGTTTAAATACAGAACAAAATGCTATTGAGTTACAATGGCTTAACTGTCCATTTAAATATCACAGGTAGAAGAGGATGATGATGCTGAATCACGAGAGGAAGAAGAGAAGGAGGAACTGAAAAGCTATTCAAGAAGAAAGATTTTTTCCAACTGGAGCCGCTATGAGGATACAGAAAAAGAGGGACAGAGTGAACGTGGGGAATCACAGAGAGGAACAGATTTCAGTGTTTTGCTTAGCTCAGCAGGTAAGCATTTTCTACTCTACAGACAGTTTTTTAGGTGTGCATTTTGAAATGTTACTACTTTTCTGTCTGTTGTCCTTGACAAAACAGGACACTAGAGTACCATCCCTGTCTGCCACTGATGTATTTACAAGGGTTCAAAGCCTCCATGGGAGCAGCCTTATAGCACACAGGCTGCACCGAGCCATGACAGATGGGGAGTAAAACAGGACTGCTGCATTTATAGCCTTCTTGTGAAACTATGTAGGGTCTGAGTGTGTGCAGCATCCAGTTGCTTTGAGCCTATTCTTGCTGACAATGAATTTCTTACTGATCTTGGTCATTGGGTTGCTTTCCAGGAAACAAAAAAGGTTTCTAGTTTGACTAAACACAGCAAAGCAGTCAAGCAGCTGCTCGCTGTTTGTTTTGACAAAGATTTGTAATCAGTACTGTACAGATGTGTGCATGAATAGTAAGTGTTACTCTCCTTGAAAATAAAGATCAAATGTTTTCCCCTCTTTAAAGGAGATAATACAAGGAGGAGGTGGAGGGACAGGCTGGACAGGTTGCACAAAAACCAGTTACCTAAAATTATTTTAGAAACTCTTGATGTGTTGGAATACCATTCAGTAAAAAGCTGCGAAGAATGTATTGGGGGGAGGGGGAAGGGAGGGGCGGGGCTGAGCAACTTGGAAGCTCTAAAATCTCTCAAATCTGAATAATTGGATTTTTTAGCGACAGCTTGGAGGGGTAAGTTAGAAATAATCTACGGTAAAGAAACAAGGAACAGAGATCTCTTTCACTGTGCCAGAATCCATTTCTGAAGTTCAGTTTTGCACGAACACTGCAGTATTGGGCCTAAATCATCACTTTTGATCATAGGATCATGAGATATGTATTGACTTCTCTGAATGGTATGTTGCATGGTAAACAGTGTTGGAGTCAAGGTGCTTGGTATGGACCCCAGAGCTGGATAGGTAACATAGCCTGGGGAGCAAAGCAAATATCACAACTCAAAACTTTTTAAATCGTGAGGCCTACCCTGAGTTGCCTGTTGCCATGGTTCAGCTTTTTAAAACAAACTTTAATATCTCTAACTTTATACTTAGTCTTCAGAATGTCTTTAAAATGCTCTGATGAATAGTGCTTTTGAACTAAGCATATAAGGGTATACTATATATTTCTACTAGTTTGTATTTTGGTAAGTTATACTCCAATACAGTTATTACCAACCCATTTATTTTACTCTGTTGATTCTTATAATGCATAAAATTAAAATCTTGTTGGTTAGTATTATTACTAGTTACTAATTCTAAATTTCTCATTTAAAGAGTGCTTTACTTTATTTTAAGATATGTTGTGACTGTTCTTCACATTAAAATAAATGATCAGAAACAGCAATGAAATAAAGTACTTTCTTTCAGAGGAAGAAGAAAGTACCTTCTAAACAATAATGCAGGTTTCTTGGAGTCACATAAAAAAGCAGTGTGTGTCGGGGGGGTTCATTGTATGGTTTCTTTGCCTTATGCATGAAAATTGCGAATGCAGTCATCTTTATTTCTAGTGGTCTGAGAAGAAGCTTGCATCTCTGCTTTATTTGATAATTTTGACTTCTCTTAGTATATTGCTGTTTAGCATTCTGAAGTTGCACAATGGATCCAATTCAATTGCAACAAATGGGAGTGCTGGAGAGGGAATGGAGTTAAGGTGCTATTTTTTGTGAATGCAAAGCCTTAGAAAGGTCTTGCGATTTACTATTAATACACAACTATTAATGCAGCCAGTTAAGAATCCTTTGGCAAAAGCTCAGATTAAAAACCTGTTCTGCTATATAACATTTAGATTCCATAATATTGAAAGCAGGGTCTTAAAGACGGTGCTGTCCTTCAAGATACAACTTGTAGTTTTTCCCAGAAAATATCCTTTTAAATGAATGAGATAGAATAGAAAAAATAGTTTGGGATAATGTAGTAATAAATACAGAATTAATGCTAGTAGACAAACTTATATGGAGGAGTTCCTGATGTCCAAGGAATTAAAATTCCAAGGTTGGTATTTGTTTAATATTTCATAAACGTGCTTCTACATGTAATTTTCTAGTTAAAATAAACCAAAAATAGGAAAATGTGAAGACTGATACTCTGTGATATGGGTCTTATGTTGATAATTAGCAGGATTGGTGCTTTTAAAGCTAGTACATAAACATTACTTTTGCTTGAATTAAGAAAGTAAGAGTTATGGGTTGTTATACTGAATTTTTATCAGTAGTAAAGTGGGATTTTTTTCTGAGAGGGGGAGGAAGGGGTTTGCAGATACTTGCAGAGGATAATAAGTCTTTAGGGTACTATTTTACATTTTCCAATAGCTTCTGAAGACAGACTTTTTTTAGTTTTTTGCCTACGTTTCCATCTTGTCCCTGCCTCAAGCCAATCTCCAGTGCCGCACTGATTCTGTCTTTTCAATCAAATATTTAGGCCTGACTAGTCCCAGACCATCTCTTGACTGTCCCTCTGCTGTCAGCCTTTTCCTGCCTCCTAATTCTTCTCACTCTCCCTCGCTTCTGTTTATTTATTTATTTATTTATTTATTTTTCCTTCTCTGTGTTTCTGGTTCCTGGTGGTGGATATTCTCTGTGTTTTGTTGTGACCCAGCTCCCTTCCACATATATTCTGCCAGCTGTATTCTGTCCCTTGCTCCGTCCAGTCCTGGTGATCCCCAGTTCTGAGTTGTTCTGCCTGGGATTGCTCATTTGGCTTAATTTTTTTCTCATCCACTACCACATCTTCTTCTTACTTTCCTCTTGGTTTCTTTCCTTGTCTAGTCAATCCCAGTTTATTCTTTCAAGCTTCCAGTTCTAGTCTCTACTACAAACTATTTTCTCCACGTTCCCTCCACACATTCTGTCAGTATACCCTATATCCTACTGTTACCCAACAACAAGTGACACACCACTGTTTTCAACTTTGGTAGGGATATCAGCATAGGTGAAGTTGCAGAAATATGCAAGAGTGTTAAATGCAGACTTCTTTTACAGTGAAAATCTGGCTCTTCACTCGTAACCAGAGCATAGAGGAACTTAATTAACTCAGTTGCCTTGCTCATGGCGATGACATGCAGAAGGTCACTGAGGATGGACTATTTGGTGATTGGTTGTTAAGCTCCAGCAGATCCTGCCGAAAAATACGTACAAACTCTGATTTCTAGAAGCTGGTAACTTGGCTAAATCAGGTCAGATTTTTCACAAAATGAGCAAGGTGTATTGTACCTCTGTCATACAAAAACATTGTCCAGCCTGATTTCAAGTTACTGATTCAGGGCAGGAAAGTGGTTACAGTTTTTCAAAGGAAGAGCTTACAAGGGCTTTTTGCCTACATCCTTTCATGGTAGAAAAATGTTCCAGCCATTCTCTGACTTTTTTTAAAAGGTGGTGGTGAGGGGAGGGTGAGGAAGAACTACCTGAAGCAGACAATTGAGATGGAAAATTTCAGACTGAAGAGTTAAAAACGCAGCTGAAAATAGTCTTAAGTAAGAACTGCCATGTGGTTTTGATAACAGCTGATGTCACTAGCCTGACAGCTTCTTTGTTAGGGATTATTGTATTTGTGCATAAAGTAGGGTGATAACTTTAGTTTTTAAGTCTGTTTTTTTCCTTCTTTTAGCATTTTGTAATATTTTGGTTTTAATTAACCTTGAGTTAAAGCAAAGCAAACTTTTCTGTATTGCTTTTGATGTCTAGCTGATGTAAACTACAAGTCCATTGTGAAGCCTTGAGGGAATATGTCTTGAATCAATTTAGTAAAAATGCTGTTGAAGCGTAAAGAACAAGAGAAGTGGAAGTGATAGGATAACCTTACTTTGCTAGGAGAATCTTGCCATGTTTGAAGAGCTGTCCTCATTTTTTGACTGATGATGATTAAATGTCCCAAAATAGATTTAAGTCCTTCGTTAGGTTTTTGGCTGTGAATAGATGCTTTAAGTTTAAAAAAATGCTTTTAAAATCTCATTACAGAGCTGATCAAAATGTATCCAGGGACCTGATCACTTTCCTTTAAACATGGTAGGCATTATCAGTACAGCAGCCAAAAGCTGCCAACATACGTGCCTCAATAACAGCGTAATGAGTTGCAGCATGTGATGATTATCAAGATGAAAAAATACAAGTTTGGACATGAACTTTTTCCCCTTTGTTTTTTTTTGTCCATGGCTGAATAATTCTGATGGCCTTAAAGGGTAAGAAAGAGAAATGCTGTGTAGTTCAAACAAAACTGGCGGAATATTTTTGATATTGTAAGAATACTAATTTCTGTAGATACCTAGCACTTGAATACAATAGGAAATGTGGAATAAAAATCACTGGAGCAGTCACTGGAGCATAATAGTAATCAATAGTAAGTATAGGAATTGTGAGGTAGCAGTTGCTTTGCGTTCCCTAAATCTCTGTTGTTTTGGGTTTGTAACCTCTTGCTTTTGGGCCTCTCTTTAATTTTCATGTGTCTATTGCAATATATTGCTGCATTTTTGTCATTTTCATGGTTGATACATATGTGAGAATTAGCAGTGTACAGAAGGTCATTGACTGTCTTGGAAAAGCTGAACAAACAAACTTTTGGAGCAAGGTTTGTGTTAAAACTAGGGTTTCCTTCAACTTTTCTATCTTAAGTATATACCAACAGATTTGGAAAAAAAAAAAAAGTAGTGTGAAGAGTTTCGATGCTAATTCTGCTCAAACAAAAAGAATGGCAAAGGCAGGGCATGGTTCAGATGCTAAAAAAGAATCCTTTGAGTTTTAAAATTCTAGAGCATAGCTGAAAATCAGTTTTCTTAAGAGAACTGCCTAACTCATTGTTGATTTGAATTACTGTATATATCAGGGGTCACACTTCCCAGTGGTATTTGATTGCCAACTTCTACTACTTTTCATTTTGTATGTTCTGTGAAATTATTTATGTCCGTATGTCTCCACAGAACTCTGATTCTGCATCACTGTTTCTTGTACCATTGAGATATCTAGACTAATGAAGAAT